GGCGTGAGCCACTGCGCCTGGCCTAGATTCCTTTTGAAAACCGGACCCTCATGTTCTCTGTCACATGCCCAAGGTCACCATTTAGGAAGACCTGCTTTGGTCAAATATGGCACCGAGGAGCAGTAAGCCTGTAACATCTTTCAGATCTGAGACTTCTCTCAGCAGGTAAGCCCCAGGAAAAGGGACACGCGCATGGGGGAGGGACTGACGTTATGACCCGTCTGCCTTCCTGCTGCCCCACCCCGCTTTCCCAGACACTTACGGGACCCTGCACCCCTGGGTGAGGGTCCTCAGCCCTGGCAGTCATGGCCTCCATTTGGCCACACTCACCGTTTCAGGTTTTTTCTCCATTGCTCCCCAACACATTTCTAACCTTCACTTTGAAAATGAGTCCCCTGCTCTTCCCTGAGCATGGCTTGTGTTTTCAACGACACCTTGGCCATCTGATCTGCCTGAACCACCATTCTTACAAGTTTACCAGTAGAAATTCTGTCCTATCTTTCAAGGCCCTACATTAGACTAGCTGGAGTTTGTAGATCAATAAACTTTAGTGTTAGAAAAAAACCTAGACATGATCTAGTCCAAATCTTTCATTTTAGAAAATGGTGATTCACATAGGCTTAGGTGACAGGACAGAGCTCCTCTTCAGAGTCTTTTAAATTTTCTCCCGAGTGGTATTTATCCTATTGCTCTTTTTTTTTTTTTTTAATTTTTTCTTTTTAAGAGATAGGGTCTCACTCTGTTGCCCAGGCTGGAGTGGAATGACTGGATCATAGCTCACTGCAGGCTGGAACTCCTGGGATCAAGCAATCCTCCTGCCTCAGCCTCCCAAGTAGCTGGGACGACAGGCACGCACTACCATGCCTGGTTAAGTTTTTCTAATTTTTGCAGAGACTGAGTCTCAGTATGCTACTCAGACTGGTCCTGAACTTTTGGTCTCAAGAGATCTCCCACTTTGGCCTCCCAAAGTGCTGGGATTACAGGTATGAGCCACCACAACTGGCCAGAATGTATTTTTTATTCATAATACTCTGACCAGAGAATACAGATAGATAGATGTGGAGTCAATATATTTTAAGAATGTGGGCTTTGTGAGCTTTGGAGTAAAACAAACTAGGCTCTCTCTTTTTTTTTTTTTTTAACTAAGGCTAAGTTTATAAATAATAAAATATACATATTTTTAAAGTATATAAGTCTATGAGTTTTGAGAAATGTAAATACTTATGTAACCACCACTATCATCAAAATATAGAACATTTCCATTACCCCACAAGGTCCTCTTGTGCTGGTCCCCAGTCAAGCCCCTTTCCCTTCCTTCCCACAGCTGCTGGTCTGCTTTCTAGCACTACAAGTTCCATATGTCTTTATTATCAGAGTTTTATACAAATGGAACTACACAATATGCATACTTTCTGTCCAGCTTCTTTCATTGAGCATGAAGATTTTGAGATTCATCCATGCTTTTGCATGTTTCTATAGTTTATTCATTTTTATTAACTAGCTGATATCTCATTATATGGATATACCTGAATTTATTTATCTCATTGATCATTTGGATTTGTTGCTGTAAGAATAATTATTATTGTTATAGCTATTATAAGCTGCTATGGACATTTATACATGAACATTTGTATAGGTCTTTGTTTAAACATAAAAACTACCTAGAATGAAGTTTCTTAGTCATGTGGTTAAGTGCATGTTAAACTTTATAACAAATAGGCAAACTTTTCCAAAGTGGCTTTATCATTTTATATTCCTACCAGCAATGTAAGAGAGTTCTAGGTGCTTTACACCCTCACCAACATTTGTTGATGTCAGTTTTTCAAAAATTTGGGAATTCTAGTGATTGTGAAGTGGTATCTTAGCATGATTTTAATTTGCATTTTTCAGATTACTAGTAATATTGAGCACCTTGTTTGTGTGCTTATTGACCACTTGTATATTTTCCTTTATGAAAATATCTATTCAAGTCTTTTGCCATTTTTAAAAAATTATGGTTAATTATACATTTGAATTATAGATTTTCACAAATATGAGAAAAATATACATATGAATGTATATAAACATATATACTCTGGATATAAGACTTATGTCAGATATATGTATTTTGAAGATTTCTCTTTATCTTGGCTTGCCTATTCCGCCTGGCCAACATTCTTTATTTCATCACAGTCACACAAGTTTAGGAGCAATTTGAGCTTTAGCCGGTTGTGATCCCAACACACCAGCAACTGAAGTTCTCCTTGGGGGTGATGGAGCTGACTTGGAGGCAGTCAGGCAGTTGGTATTGGCTGGGTCACCCACAAATCACCTCACTGACTTCCTTGAATATTTCTCCAAGGCTGCACCCTGGGATTTGAAGATGTTCACATTTGCTTTCGGTAAATCTTTCCTCCTTGCCTTCCCTTCTTGGATGGAGCCCATGAGAATGGCCACATCCAGGTCTTTGAAGCAACTCTTCTTTGTCTGTTGTGTAACATCTTTCAGGAGGAAGGGCACAGTCATGCAGTTCCATTCAGACACCATCCAGGACCCCCATCATGGTACTATCCAACAGCACAAGAATTATAGCCGGTCTTACCAAAGACAGATCCATTTCCAATATTGTACAGCAGTGAATATGCAATTGACCAGCTGCTCCAGTCATAAAGGATTCTGATTGGTTCAGACTTGATTGCAAACTGCGTGGACACTTGCAGCACCTGCAAAATGAGCCGCAGGGAACTGAGGGAGTCAGGTCACCTCTACCGGCGGAACCAAACTCCTGTCTGTCAAAGATTTTAAAGGTCATTATAAAAATGGTCAATGAAACATTATACATTCTCCTGAAAGAATGAAAATTTAAAATCTCAGCAAGTAAATATAAAAAGTAGATAGACTCTTACGAAAGAGTATATCTACAATTGTTGAAATCCAGCCTCAGCCAACATAGTGAGACCCTTTCTCCACAAAAAATAAGAAAATTAGCCCAGGTGTGTGGCCAACCCTGTAGTCCCAGCTACTCAAAGACTGAGCCAGGAGGAGGATCCCTTGAGCCCAGGATTTGGAGGTTGCAGTGAGCTGTGATGATGCCACTGCACTCCAGCCTGGGTAACAGAGTGAGAACACCCTTTCCTCAGAAAAATAAATTATACAAAATAATTGAAATGAAAAATAATAGTGACCAAAAAAAAACTCTCTGGTGGACTCAGTAGCAGAGTGAAAATGATAGAGGAAAGAATCAGTGAACTGGAGATAGACCAATAGCACAATTCTAGAAGCAAAAGCAAGAGAATATGCAAAGCTATCTTAGAACACAGAAATCACTAGCTATTAAGAAAGATTTATAAATTGAATTTCATCAAAATTAAAACTTCTGCTCATTAAAAGTCCACATTGGGGCCAGGTGCGGTGGCTCATGCCTGTAATCCTAGCACTCTGGGAGGCTGAGGCTGGTGGATCGTTTGAGCTCAGGAGTTCAAAACCAACCTGACCAAGAGCAAGACCCGTCTCTACTATAAATAAGAAAGAAATTAATTGGCCAAATATATAGAGAAAAATTAGCTGGCATGGTGGCACATGCCTGTAGTCCCAGCTACTGGGAGCTGAGCAGAGGATTGCTTGACCCAGGAGTTTGAGGTTCGTGAGCTAGGCTGATGCCATGGCACTCACTCTAGCCTGGCAACAGATGAGACTCTGTCTCAAAAAAAAAAAAGTCCACATTGGGAAAAAGAATAGGC